ATTTGCAGCAACAAAGCAAAGGTTCACCTATCTCATATATGACATTAAATTAGCTAACAGTTTTGCATGAATCACTCGGTCAAAGGCCTTGTGCGAGATAAATTATGGTAGCCGATATACCAAGGTCATGTGGGAAGTTATGTTGCTTAGCAATCCCAGTTGGCATGTAACGCAAGACCAAGAATCCATGTTGTGAGTTGTTTATTAGCTTTCTTGATAGTAGGCATTCGATCGTTTTAGCTTTGATAGATCGCTCCATAATGTTTGATAAGATAATGTGTGTCTTACTGGACGGTACTTTTTAAGCTCGACAAATGAGCTTTATTTATGTCGTGACACTATTATAGATTCCTTTTACTGATCTGGTACAATGTTCATGGATAGATTAACCAAACTCAATAATAGCATGCGTATGTCCCCCGTGCCCAAGTTCATAACTACGGAGGGAATATTGTCTGGACCCTCGAAATATGATAATTCTGTGCACTTGTTTTTGTATATCGTGTACCTCAAGTCGGATACCGGGACTAGTGGCAAGATCATGCACAGAGGTTCCGTGTCTACGTTGAATGAGGTGCAAAAGAAAGAAAATTTGAAGTCAAGGCTCCCGCGAGTTGGTTTTTGAGCACTAAGGATAGTCATGACCCTAGTACCGAGCGTTTTGGGACACCACACTGCACTTCGTTCTGGTCGGACAGGGCACTACGAATTCACATTCAGGAGGCGTCGGTGTATGAATGTAGGTATCCATCTCAGGGCACTGACATCAATCCAGTAGCTAGAAACTTTATGAAAATGAATGGGAAGATCTAAGCCATGGGTCACCAAATTAAGAACCGAGAGCAGGAGCCGGCCTCCGATGTCAGTTCATTCGGTCTGCCGGCTATATGCGAAGTTGTGTCGGAAAGCGCTTTGTTTCGGCAGTAACTTGTTGGCATCGACAGCAAAGCCAATGGTTTAGATTGTGAATTCCCGCTACATAAAAGAACACTATGATGGTTACATGACTAGTTCTTTTGGACTGTTTATTCATTCAGACCGAAAAAAATTACTAAGCGAGACGTTCATTGAGGTGGAATGATTTAGGTAAAAGATGGACGATCTGATGCAACTCAGCATGTAATCTTCTAAGACGATTACTAATTCTTAAATAGTAGCACTTGGGTTATATTGTTTTCGGCAAAGTTCTTCATAGCTGGAGGCAACCAGACAGCAACTACACATCCAGGAATGCGGTAGACAGCCGTTTCATCTTATTGGGACTCGTACTTAGTAGGCACGTTCCGGATCCTGCTGGATCTAGCAACTTCATAACATGCAGAAGAGTGAAAGTTGATCCCCGCTGTATGGCAAGTAGAAATCAGACATAGAGGTCCATCACCGTCACCCATAGCTAAGTGTCAGCAATTGCAGGACCAAGTGGATGCTCGATACTGACGATGGGACTAGGAATAAACTGCCCCGTAACCTTTTCCTGAATGTGCAGTGGCTGTCTGACCGGAGTTTGCTGTTACGAAACTTATCAAAAAGACAGAAAATCCCCGTACCAGTCTTCTTGTTTGGGGTTCGCATGTAGAGAAGGTCAGAGCACTGACTGGAACCTATGATGCGTCGGTTGATGGTTAACGCCTTTATCATATGCTACCAACTGCATCGACCACGAATTTTAGTGCTGAAATTCGGAATATCTGCCATGTGCTTGGGTTGCGACGCAGGATCTCTGTTGTAACTTTACTTCACTTTTAACTAGACTTCGGTAATTCTGCTCAGTCGGACGCGTCCATAGTGGAGGGATTCCCGTGGTATTCCCTCCCATCGCTGCGCTCCACGAAGCGCTCCGTCCTTGTCCGGACTCCTGTGGCTAGTGATAGCCTGCGATGGAATCAGAGTGAGGGGTCCACCGGTTTACGTCCGACACCTCGACCACTGGGTCACTGTGATCCGTTAGCAGTGTGGAGTGCGGCTGGCAAGAACCAGATACTGTTTCGTAGAATCAGCTGCGTGTTTAAGTGAAATAATAGCATTTTAACGATCCATAGCCATTCTCACCCATCACCCGAAATACATTGTTAGTTACCGAGATCCTCACTCTGATCATATGCTGATGGTGAAGCTCTTGTTGCTGAGACTTTTTCCTTTACGCAGCTGCCTTTACAGTAGATAAATGAAGGAAATATTACAGGATGAACATGGAATATTAATTTTTCACGATTAGAAATGCAGGTGCTTGATAAGTCTTGTACGATGGTTGGGGTGAAGATTACAAAATCAAAAGGTATACGGTTCGTCTGTTAGTTGCGTTGCTGTATAAAGATATTGTAAACTAAGTATTGAATACAAGCAGGGAGAAACATGTGGAGCGCGGTGATATTTGACGTATTGTGTGAGAAAAATGAAGATAACATCCCTCACCCATTTCCACTTTCTCTGGTCGATGTGACATGTAAACCCGGGATGAGCGCATGATAAAAGTATTCCACAGCAACAAACCTTAGGTAATGAAGTGCTAGGAGCTAACAGAAACATCCAAAAAGTGTTAGCTACTGATAAAATATCCCAGGAATAGACATCAGGACATATGTTAGTGAACAAGCTCGTTTTCAGTGGTTCCTCATCAGGCTAATACACCACAAATGAATCAGATAAGGATACAGGTTCAAAAATGCTTTCAAACGACTTAAAGTTTGTAAAAAACCTATTCGATAGGAATGGCTATCCGGAAAGCTTCGTTCGGAGAAACATGGAGGTACGAGAAGCGAAAGCAAAATTGAATTCACTAGGAAAGAAACCGATCTACTTATCCCTGCCGTTCAAAGGGGGATGGGATAGCTGAATCGACCTCTAGAAGGCTTTCTGACGCCATCGCTCAAACGTACTATGCAGCAAGCCTACCGCTAAGCTTTTACTCAGTGCCGATCCTGAATCAACAACTTAAGGACAGAAATCCAATGTCAAGTATTTCGTCCTCTGTATACTCTTTGTCTCGCTCGTGTCGATCAAGATATATTTGAAGAACTACCCGGCGACTGTTCGAGAAAGCCAGGGAACACTGTCCAGCTTGGCTATATAGCAGCGTGACAAGATCAGTGGCAAGTGCAGTGTCTTCTCACCTGATTGACTCGAGCCACCAGGTCAGAGCGCATGAGTCGTTCCAATCCATCTACTGCGTATCCAGATGCCAGACAAGAGCGGTTAGATGTCGTCTACTGGCAGCGGCCGAAGCAATAGCCATCAGGCTTCAAGACTTTGACCTATGTGCGCACGAGAAATTTGTCCAGACACTTACCCTTTAACACGGACACATCGTGTGGAAAACGCCACACACACACACACACACACACACACACACACAAACAAACAAACTGTTGATCGCCGTGGGGCCAATCACCTAGCTTGGTCACAGACCGTCTGGGTTCTGATCGTGTACCCTTATCTGATGTTTACGTTCATGTCATTCATTCGTGGTGGATTAGCCTGATGAGGAGCTGATTCGCTAACCTTTGTTCTGACTTTTTGAAAGTATCCAACAAAGGTAATAACTGTCTGAGAGGGTGTTTCAATGTTATCAAACCAGCAGAGAAAGTAGGCGACACTCTAAAGGTACGTACTGTTCACTCGGTTTCAGGTATATACCTCTGAGGTGGGTATTGTGACCGTTTCAGCAAAAGACGATGTACTTGGTTGCAGCCATTTACTAGTTGCTACACTACTATAAGATCGCAGCGTAGCGTTCTATAGCGTCCGCTGAAAACTCGCAGTAACTTTAGTCTGTGCTGGTGAGACGGATTGTTTCTGCCCCTGACAGTTGTTGTTGCGCGGTGCTGGGGTGTTTAACACCAATAGGTCCCACTTCAATCAAGGTGGCCAAACTTGGATAACGTAGTTTACGTGAGGAAGACCGCTGCAGGAAGAAGGATGTGTGTTTTACTGAAGTTCAGTTACATTTCGTATTTCAAAATGTCAGCGACCGCCCTTCACTGTAATCTAGTCAATCGTAACCTTCACATAATCCTAAATCAAATTTGTCCACTTCTTGCCGCAGTCTTGCCACCTCTTTTAACGAAACCGTGGCAAATTTGATAATTTCAACAGATGCGACTCGAGTGTACAGATTCATCACCTTTTCCGACCCCTGAGTACGATTTGCGACTAAGAGAAAAGCCAATACAGCACTGGCGTGTTTGAAGCAAAAACATAGTAATTTCATATCTAACTTTCCAAGGCTAATGTATCAGTCAATAAATACATAGCAACTTTTCTCAACTTCCTTTTGCAGCTTTTGTTCTAAACCTTTAACGCTTGTTGGTTAAAGTGGGCCTAATCTATTCTATATTGAGAAAGTTTAAGCATAACGTATTTCATTTGCTTGCACGCAATTTCTCACTATCAGCGGATACGATGTTCCCAGGAAACTCACTAACCCACTAAGGTCCACGTCGCGTGTTTCGATTTGGCCTCGACGGGTGCAACCGAAAGCAAGCTCTCCTGCTCTCTGTCATAGGTCTCGTTAATGCTGCAGGAGTTCGTGCGGCCGCACCGATGAAATTAGAGTAGACAGACTGCTTGCCCTGTCGTTTAATATCCAGTCTATCAACGTCTAGTTAGCCATTTTCTAATGATGGACAGACCATGGTTGCTTAATCAAATAATGCAGCTGTTCGCAGATTGATTTACATCAAAAGGGGTAATCAGGAATTTTGTTGGCGATAGCGTGCTACGGAATAAAATTTTAATTGAGAATGCTTGAAAACCCCACTTACAATACACGTCACAACTCGACTGTTAACGTTTTGTCCTGTCTCCTGCTCACTCTAATGCTTCTTAGTAGGCAGAAATGGCGAAATTGAAAGCCAGACAGTAAGACGAATGCAAATCATTAGATGAGTCTCCCTTTTTACTTCTCAGCATATCGGTGCCCAGGAATCATTTCACATTTCAATCAAGTGGTATAGACCTAATCTTTCTACCAGTTGAATCTTAGATACGCTTTCCCTTAATAGCCCATCAAATATTACTGAGTGAGACTATCGAATTTGGTCCAACAAACGTGAGATTTCTGAAGCCCGTGGAATTGACTTTTGGACATTACTTGGCCCACTCCCCTGCGGTATCCCAGCTGTTCATCTGCTTCGCAATCCCAAATGTCAAATCTGATTCAATAAACTGGCAAGTAAGTGAATCTTAAACAAGAAAACGCGGTTGCAGAGGATTTTCTCGGCAAATCACATCAGGCAAATACGTGTACAAGGATAACTGAGATAAACATAAGCTAACAAAAGCTGAAGAGAAAGTGGTGAGGAGTCCGAACTGCCTCAATTTATTTGAACTGAAGGCAATTAGGTCAGTTCAGATGGCTGAAGCCGTGTTGCCAAGAGAAATTGACCTAATATGACCCCACTTAACAAAGCTCGCTGACCTCTTCACGCAGCAAATTAGGTTAGCCGAAAGTGCCACCACTTTTATTCATTATCATTGTTTACTGTGGATGGATCCTCGTCACGGCCAAGACAAAGTGTGAGATTGAAACATCATCCTCTACATGCAAAGCTCTGGTTACGCTAACTTGATCGCTATCGACTCGGTTGTCTGTGAGAAGAGGTTTCTGAGCTCTTTACGGTTTATTTTTGGCACAGTGAAGAAATGGTCGAAAGCCTTACTTGTCAGCATTTCTTGTCCACTTTGAACTAAATTATCAAGGATGAAACTCCTGGCCCTTCCGATAGTGCCTTTCCGCACTGAACCATAGCAGTGCTCATCTATCCAAGTCGACAGAAGCCTGGTCGTGTCTTAGATCTTTAGCACCACAACTTCAAGTAGATTAAAATACCACGTATGAATCGAGCTTAGCTGGTAATCTGTCTTTAAGGCGCTGAGCAGTAGATGGAATGGTTTTCTCAAGAACATGTGGACTGGCGGCTGGGTACATCCTGGGCATTTCCGCGGAAAGCCCCCTTTTGGCAGGTAGAAAGCAATGTCACCCTTAAACGGGACCTTGAGAAACACATCCTTACTGGAAATGTGATGGCAGGCTCACTGCGTTCACGAAGTATGGCTTGATTTTGATAAATGAGGCTCAATAACTGTTTGGAAACAGCTTTTTAAATATGCATCGCTGAGCTGCAGATGTTAGAAGCTCAACAATGCATACAACGAACTAAGTTTATAACAGAGTCACGAAAGAAGCTTTCCGGAAGACACTTCTCTTAAGGGAGCCGTTTTCCCGTATTCTTATTAGTACATCCAAGAGCGACAGATTGCCTTCTTTTTCGATATTTTTGATGAAACTCAGCAATGTGTGGGCAACCTTGAGTTGATCGAGTAAACCAACGACAACAGTGCAGTCTACTAATCTGTTAATGCATTCGTTAAGCAACAAAGAACTTTTCCCGTGCACGTACTCTTTGGTGAGTTGCCCGTAGTTTCGACTGCGAACAGCCTTGTGATGCTTTCGTCTATTAAAGAAACACGGATGATTAGCGCTGAACCATGCAGAATGGATGAACTGGATGAGAGGCACTATTTATTCACATCCACCCCATACTTAATCGGTAGGTGGAGAAGGGTCACAAAATTAGAGAATTATGTACAACAGATGTATACACGGTTGTGGCTGAGTCCCATCTATGAACCTGGCACGGTCAACAAGAACTCTGTACCCGTCAGTTTCAACATAGATTGTCCATCTTTCGAAGTTGGTAATCGACTTGACCGCGTTAATTGTGTGCAATGATACTCAGTTACTATTCGCAAACGATGACACCTAAGTGACGTGCCACGTATGACATAATGTAGCACAGTCAGACCGGATGGACCCAAAGTGCATCGACAAGAAATGCAAAGAATGAAGAGCAGCAGATCCAGAGTAAACAACAGCGTTGCAGCTTGACTCGTCGAGAGAGCGAAGTGAACGAAAAGTACAATCACCAAAACTGATGGATAATCGGAAGGTACAAAGAAAAGTAAATCCAATGTCGCAAGCGTAAATGTTTTACGTTCACTATAGTGGTCACTCCCTAATAACCTGAGTAAGGGACACCTTCGAAAGGCATGTCAGATGGGGAGACAATTATGGGAGAGTAGGTTAACACATGTGATGAGCACCTGCATCACAAGCAGGGGCGTGTGGGTTTCACTGGTTCCGCTATTGTTGATTGCTTGTCATTTTAGTGTTGTTTGGGTGTGGACCGGAGTACATCACCTGCAGGCACTCAGTGTGGGCTCGTGGATAGTAGTTCACTCGACCACAAGCTCAACTAAGTGGCCTGACAAAACTCGGAGCTAGAAAGTCTTTAGTAGCCTAAATGTTGTCTGAAGGGACCTAGATACCAGACGATGAGAAGAAGTGGTCTAGGAAAATTAACGTTAACTCGCCAAGCTCGCACTTTGTCGGGTTAACGGTGACATCAGGTTGGATCAACCGGTGGAACAGAGGTTAAAGATGAGAGGTGTGCCTCATCCTACTAATTGGTTTCAAAAATGTGGTGGTAGGATTAGGCAAAATCTAGGCCACAAGTGACGTAATGTATGAAGCGTTGAAAGGTCTGTGCAACACTACACAATCCGAAGTGTATTCTTGAAAATTAAAACAAACCGAAGGGGGAGATATGTATCTGATACCCGCACGATCAAGATCGATATTGCTGAAGACCTTATCATTGAGGCATCTATAGTGAGGTCTTCTTTGTGTCGAATGTTGTAGCTGTCGATGACTATATATGCGTTTAGGGTCTAATGATCCCCACAAAGACAATAGTCACCAGATAAATTCGTGACTATCTGAAGTAGCGAAGACAAGGTGCTGCATGAAGGACGGATTATCGCGTTTTCCAACATGTGCTAACACGCCACCCCAGCTAGCTTCAGTTTCTCCAGCGAAACTAGGTGCAGCCGTGATGAGACGAATGGGCTGTTATTCGGGATATGATGAATGACTTTGGGTGCCACAGATAGAGTCACGTTCATAGGCTAAACGAGTTTAGAGTAATAAGAGAGGGGGTCGTTATATTCGGAACAGGTTTGTTGGAAAACTTAGGCTTTGGTGATAGCTGGAAATCACACAGCCTTATCTATGAACAATGAACAATGAAGTTATACGGGTTAAGAAGCGTTGCTTTACAAGTCTCGCTGAATAGTTGGTGGGGATATCAACATAACAATAATGATGATAAGGATAGTAAGATAGTTAATACTTTAAATATGAAAATAAGGACTTATCGTTTACTTCGCTGCAGTCCTGCGATCCTCTTAGATTCATAGCACCCACAGTTAACAACAAATAATTCCATGGTAAACTCCAGGTGTAGGATGCAGATGTAGTGTTAAGTAACAAAGTGTAAGTGGATGAATGCATCGTCCAACCGTCTTTTAAATACTGTTAGTGTCGGGATAGAGACGACCGATTCTTGGAGAGCATTCCATGGGTGACAGACACGAATGGAAAAGAAATTTCTGCGGCACTCCAGACGACTGTATTGTTCTGCGAGTTTTAATGAGTGGCCCCTCAGGTTTGTATTGCTGTTGAGTTGCAGTAAAAGGCGGCACAAGTGATGTGGGTCTCACAGAATCAAGTATGTGATAATCAGGTCGCCTCGTAGTCTGCGATAGCTTCCACTGAGCAATCCCAGTCGTCGCAGCCTCTCCTGGTAGGAAAGATTGTGCTTTCCAATTACGTTTTTGGATGCCCGAAGTTGTCCCTGCTCCAGTGCATTAAAGTCGTGTTTCAGCCATGGATACCAGGCTTGAAGTACATATTCGACATGGGGCCGAACATACGCACCGAGCATTTGTCGAAATATGGAGCTGTTTATTTGTCCAAACGCCCGCCTCGATAGCCAGACGTGTTGGTTCCCGGTCTTCGAGGCCTTTTCGGATTGCCTGGAGCAACCCAAGTCATCTTGAACCAGGACACCCAAGTCACGTTCGAAAGTTGATTGTTGTAGTATATCCGTTCCGAGTCGGTATGAGTAGCTGCTCCGATGTCGGATGGAAAGCACCTTGCATTTACTGAGGTTGAAATGCAACAATTTTTGGGTCGCCCATTGATACACCGTACCTAAATCACTCTGAAGCACATGTTGGTCGGCATTCGCATGGATCTTGCGCCAGAGCTTGATATCGTCGGTAAACATTAGGAAGTTTGAAGCGATTCCCTGTGCAAGATCATTAATAAACACCAAAAGCAAACGTGGATCTAGAACTGAGCCTTGCGGCACACCACATTCAACTTGTATGGGGTCCAATAAAGAGCTCCGAATTCTGACCAACAATTGCCGTTGAAGTAGAAAGTTGGCTATCCAGCTTAAAAGAGGGTCGCCGATCCCGTAATGTCGGAGCTTGGATAGTAGTATCCGATGGTCTAGACGTTCGAAATCCTTGGAAAAATCCAGCTAGATCACTTCAACACCTTCTCCAGCGTCAGCTGCCTCGGTCTAACTACTGCGTGCAATTAGTAAATTCGTTGTACATGACCGCTGTCGACGGAAACCGTGCTGCTCAGGCTTGATGCTGTTGCAGTTTTCCAGCTAGCACACCAGTGCACCGGTAACTATGGATTCCATGACTTTGGAGAGTATAGGATGAAGGGTTACTGGGCAGTAGTTGGATGGATCACTTCTGCTTCCACCTTTGTGAATCGGGTTTATTATTCCAAGCTTCCACATGGCGGGAACTTAGTTCTGGTCTAAGCAGCGCTGGAAAAACTGAGCTAAAGGTCCTGCCAGTTGGTTTGCTGCTGCTCCCAATGCCTCTGGACGAATGGTGTCGACACCCGGCGAGCTATGTTTGCGTAGAGAAGTCAACTTTTGCAATACAGCCTCTGCGGTGAAAGTGATGTGGGTTAGTCCTGGCGAGCAGAAGACAAAGCTTGGTAGATCGCTTGGTGGCAAGACTCTTTGAAACGTGGGGGCGTATTGCATCTGCAGCGAGTTTGCTGCTTCCACCGCCGTTCTTGTTGGGCCATCAGCCGTCTTGAGTGGAAGAAATCCTTGCCTCACCTTTCATAGGTTATTTACGTGCTTGTACAACAGCTTGTGGTTAGCACTGAAGGTTTATGCGATGTTCTGCTGATAGGCGGCTTTGCCTTCTCTTAGCAGTTGAGTGCAGTGGTTGCGTTGGGCTACGTAGTTGTCCCAAGTTTCTGGTGCTGGAGCTTCTCTGTACACTCGCCATGCT